TTGCTTGGCCTTCTAATAGTCATGATCATGGTGACTCAAGTAAGTGGAGTACTTTGATAGCTTGTTAAACTTTGCTATGAACTCCTCCTTATTCATATTCCCCTATTGAAGTCTATGAAATTCTGCCTCTTTCTCCGCTCTGAATGAGGTTGGGAAATAATAGGCGAAGAACTGCCTCTTGAATTCTCTCTGTGTCAACTGTGAGCTATCCATCAGCCTCACACTTTTTTATTATTGCTTCATTGTGTCTTTTAGCATGAAAGTGGCTAAGAGAACCCTCTACTTAGTCGTACAAGTCATAATTGAGAAGATGGTCTCGAGCCTGTTGATTTACTTATCAACTACTTGATCCTTTATAAAACCCTCAAAGAAAGGAGGATTTAATCTTGTGAATTGCTTTAAAGCTATGTCTATAGAGCCTTCCAACTCGCTCATCCTAGGCCATACCAGACATACCAACCTCTCGAGAATACTTTCCTTATAGTATTCTTCTTCTTCATGTCCATGCACCTCAACGTGCACATCATTTCAGGCTTCCTCTTGGTCAACCCCAACACTCTCAACTATCTTGCTACTCTCCTTAGGTCTCTTTTTGAGGATCTCATCATAACCATATATTCTTTTCTAGATATACCTCAGTTCATCCAAGGCATTATCTTTGTTACCTTGTTGAAGTTTCGGTTATTGCTCTTGGTTCTCTAGTCCTTGTTCCGATCTTTGCACATTCTATAGTGCATTTTCTATATTTTTACCTCTTGTTTACACCATATTCTCCCTTTTTAAGGATGGAAGCGATCCCAACAAGGAAAAAGGAAGTTAGCACTAGCTCAGTAAGGGAAATCAAAAGGTGTAATAGGATATTGCCAATTCTTTATATGCAATTCACAATACATCTTAACCATAATGACACAAACCACAAACCAATTCTTAAAACTAGAGAAATTGATACCAAGTTGTAATACCTCAATCAACTAACTATAATTAACTAATAAAACTTATGATAGTCAAAAGATTAACCCATAAAGGTGATTATTAAGTTTTAGTTCAAAATCAAGGGATCCCAAGTTTTTTTAATCAAATGAAGTTTAAATCAAACACAATCTCATATATTAGAGTAACAATAAGTTACAGAAGCATGGGATATCTCGAAGGAGTAAAAGAAATCAAAAACAGTTGAAAAATAACATGTTTGCTGTGAAACAAGATAATGAGCTGCAGCATGTTGCTCTCTATGCCATACACCGTGGCTTAAGCACTATGCTCCCTCGCATGTTACATGCCAATGACAGTAGATTCTATTGTCATTTGATAGCAGAAATGGGAAACTTTTGACATGTCTCAATTTTTCATCTAATGTCCGAATGACATGATTTAGGTGTCCATAGAAAGCTTATTTCATAAATTAGCTAATGGCATGAGTTTCAATTTCAAAACAAGTCATACCAGAAAGTTAAACATCTAAACACATTTTGATCACTTTTCACAACTTTCACACAAAAAAGGTGTCCAAAATCCACAACAAGTACCAAAAACATTTCCTAACACCTGAACCATGTCCATTATTATTGTCTTAATCTTACTTTTCATCAGTAAATAACCATTTAGTAGTTAATACCTTGTACACTATTTGTCAATTTTCTAAGTGAACTTGTTATTATCCCAACCCTATTTGTCACTAGCAAATAACTATTTAGTAGTTAATGCTTTGTACACTACTTATCAATTCTCTAAGTGAATTTGTTAGTGTCCTACACCCTACATGTTACTAGCTAGAATATAATTATTTAGTAGTTAATTCTTGTACATTAATTGTTATTTTTGAGTGAATTTCTTAATGTCTTACTAGTATATATGCATTGTATACAATCAATTACATTTCAAACCATAACCACTAGAATGATTTTGGGAAAATTACAATGAGGTCCCACACATCAAACTTAAATACTCCTAGGTCTCATAAATAAGCCAAATTACTATGAAGTCCTATGGTCCTTAGCGGTGATTAATTTTAGAAATAAAATGACCAAATTGCCCTTAGCTGATTTAAAGGGGAAAACAAGGGAAAGAGGAAGTAGAAACCCATTTTTGAGCGTGATAGGGGGCCTTATTTTGAATTCCGAGGCATGATTGAAACTTTCTACTTTGCCTAAAATTAGTTATCGAGGTCCTTCTAATTAGGAAGCATTATCTTCTCCTCTATTTTCATCTTTCGTTTGCACCTTGGCTGAAACCAAAACCTTCCGCCATTATTCATGTACATGTTTTGCCATTCAAGGTCCTTGTCTCTTCTTCCGCCATTTTATGGATGCATCAGGTTTTCCTCTCTCACTTTTTGATCTGTGCATTGTAGAAGAGTGTAAGGGGTGGTTTGTCGCTGTTGGAAGTTTGATTCACGAGTTCTCTTCTCCCCTGTTCTGTCAACTACTTTATTTTCCTTCCTTTGTTAGTGAACGCTAATTAAGGTGAGAAGCATAAGCATCAAACTTTTCTTCTTGTTGATCTTGTATGCATGGTGTATGATTTAATTATCTATGTTGCAATTTTTACCTCTTATGCTCCTGTACATGTTTGATTGGGATTTTAATCTTTGAAAATCTTGAAGTGTGAATGCTTGCAAGTTTTGTTTCCAATTGCACCTTTAGTTAAAGAAGATAAACTTGAAACTCTCAAAGTAGGATAGCACTAGTGAAAATTGTTAGAATTCTATTTGATAAAATATTTGAAGTAAACGCTATTGAACAATTTAGAATACCTAATATGGATTCTCTTACTGTGGCTTGCAGTGACTTCTATGAGATATTCTTTCCAACACTTAATTTTGTTGAAAGTTTGATATTTTCGTTATTTTCTTATGACAAGTGGGGTTAGGACATTAACAAGTTCACTTAGGAAATTGATAACTAGTGTACAGGGTATTAACAAGTAAGTGGTTATTTGGTGATGACAAGTAAGGTTAGGACATTAACAAGTTTAGTTAGAAAATTGATAAGTAGTGTACCGAGCATTGATAAGTGTGTGGTTATTTACTAATAAAAAGTAGGGTTAGGACATTAAGAAGTTCATTTAAGAAATTGACAATCACAAATGTTGACCTGAAGCATGAAGTAAGGTCACTGGTCTGGACACATGAATGGCAACATGATAAATGCCAAAGCTTATAAAACATCACACAAACACATTACACATCAGTTGAACCATTATAACTACAGTCATAGAATTGAATCATGAAATTGTTCATTCTCCATCAAGTAGCCTTGTTCAAGTTTGAAATGTTAAGAAAAACCAAAAAGAAGAAAGAAGCACGTTGATGAATTTACTTGGCTTCTTACTGTAGAGTAGTTATTTTCTTCCGATCTTCTTCTAAAAACTTTTTGTGCAGGAGAGGCAATAGGATATTGTAAGAAATGAAAGTTTGAAAGTATAATCCACATTACCTTAATAGTCATGTAGCTATATATCTTACTTGTGCTTATCATCCTTGCAAATGATTTTACATTATTAAAAGATTTCATCATCCGATAACAAAATAAGAATCTATATCTTAAAGCTAATGCAAAGCCCTTTCAAATTACTTGTGTAATTAAGGGCACTGTAGTTCTCTAACAAAACCATCTCTCAATGAAAATCTACTATTTTCATCCCTATTGGGACATTAACAACTTGTCTTAGGAAATTGAAAAGCATGCATATATAGTTGTACATGTAGGTGGTTAATCTGTGTCATAAGTGTTATGATTCTGATTTTCACTAATATTAAACTGTGTGAATTTTCAATTGATTGTAGATGAAGGGAGAAAGAAAGGCCAATATTTCTAGTTATGTAAAGTTTGTAAAAGAATTCTACAATAAGAACAAGGGGAAGTATAAATCAATTGGCGAAGGACAGGGAGGTTTGATAAAAGCATGGGACAAGTTATCACCAGTAAAGAAGAAGGAATACTCAAAGAAAGCAAAGGAAGAGAGAGGAGAGATAGCTGTAAAATATATTGTTCCCTTTCATACTCATTGCTCTCCCAGTTAGTTTTTAGAGATTACAAAATATGTTAGGGGAAAGGACAAATTAAGGAAAAGGTGTGAAAAGATTTGGCTTTGATAAATTGCTAAGCATAGGATGCAAGAAAAAACAGAGAGATATCTATACAGAGTTGATGTGGGCACTTGACCCTCCAACCCAAGAAATATGCATAAGAGGGAAAGTAAGAAAAATAAATGCAAAAGATGTATAAAATTTACTAGGTATAAAGAGTGAAGGCAAGGAGATAACTGGAGAAGTAGACATCAATGACAAATCATTCAAGAAATTAAAGGAAACTTATTTCAAAATGCCTTACAAGAATATTTTAAAAATGATAACATCCGAAAAAGAGGATGCACAATTTGAGATGTTGTTTTTAATGTATACTTTGGACACTTTGTTGTGTCCAATAGCAAGTATAGGGGTTGGTGACCGTGTTTTGAAGGTTGTACATGAAACACATAAAGGAATTGGTAAATACGATTAGGCAACGTATGTGTTGACTGAACTATGCAATAAAGTGGACATGTGGAAGCAACAATTCAATAAAGGGAAGATAACTAGAAGCAAGAATGTTGGAGGATGCATCTATTGTCTCATGGTAAGTGTGTAGTTGTAATTTATAACATGATAGAATACGGATCATTATATCTTCAAAGTAACATGTCAAAGTTTATACAAGTTTATTGCTTCCAATATTTTCTTCTTGGCTAAGAAGAAGCACCTAAGCCTGATGATGCCCTTGCATATTAGGATGGGGAGAAGGTTGTCGGAAGGGTAAAGGTAGAGAAGAAGAGCATCCAGGGCATATTGCATGATCCCATGAGTACAGATGGTAGTTTTTCTACCAAGTTTTATCCAACATGTGCTTTTAGTCACCCGGTATGTATAGAAAGTGATCTTGCATTCATTTACCAATTTTCCTATGCTGGCACATAATTTGTTTTATAGGAAATAAGGAAGATGTATGTAAATGAACCTACAAATGAAGCTTCTATGGGATTCAGAAAATGTTGAGAAGACAAAAGGATATGGTGATGAAATAGAAGAAGAAGCACATAAGGATTCTAAAGAGGAGGATAAAGAAGAGGAAGAGGAAGTTGATGAGGATAATCCAGAAGAGGCTGATGAGGATGAAGAAGGTGAAGGAAAGGATGAAGAGGCTAATAAGAAAAGCTCTGAAGAAGGTGAAGAAGGAGATGAGCAAGGAGTTGAGGAGAATGTTGAACTGGGTGAAAAGAAAGATAAGGAAAAATTCAAATGAGATGGGGATGAAGGAGAAGAGAAAGAAGAAGAAGGAAAAAGAGAGGAGACAACTTGTGTACATGAGAGCATGGATAAAGGAGGGAAAGAAGCGACGGGGCAAGTGGGAGAGTTAAGTATACATGAAGATGAAGCAAAAGAAAAAGAAGTTGCAAAAGGGATTAGAGAGCTGTAGATTGTAGAAGTAAGAGAACCTAGGAGATCATAAAGGTACAAAAGACCTGCCATAAAGTCTCCTTGAGTTAGACTTAGTTAGAGGAGGAAACTAGCTAAGAAGGAGTGTTTATTTCATATGTGCACAACATCATGTGATGAAGATGAGGGAGGGAGGTAAGTCATCACACTTGATTAAAAAACACACCACCTAAACTTTGTTATTAATCAAATGGTTTTTCTTTTCTTCAACAGGACCTTTGTGCAGATTTATGGATTTTTCCTAACTCGTGCTGAGCTTCAATGTCTTAGTGGAACTAGATAGATCAGTGATAGCGTATGAAATCTATAGTCTATGAAATCATTTTACCATTACACAAATATTAACTTACTGCTCTTGTAATTCTATTTTGCCAATTTTAGTTTATGACAATGGTTGCCAGGACATTAGTTAGAGATAAAAAAGAGAATGAAGGCAGAGTTAGGAGGCACATTTTTGGTTCAGAGTTTATGGAAAAAATGGTAAACAACCCTTGGTCTTAGACTGTTGTTGACAATAGCAGTGAGATACTACTTGAATACCTGGGATATAATATTAGATATTGTGACTTCATCTTTGGTCCTGCCCTATTTGTTAGCCATTGGTGGTGCTATGTCTTCAAGACCTGTCTTGGATTCATTGGTGAGTATTTCTGAGTATGAACGGAGAAAGAAAGAGGGTGAGAATATTAAAAAGGGCAAGAATCCTACTGGGAAGAGGAGGAAAAAAACAGGATAAGCGGATATAAAGGAAAAGCTAGCACATGCTTGTGTATGTCTGTACTTATTAATCACTTCATATTAACTTGTCATTTCCTTATTTATAGTTGTTAATGGACATTATTAACTTTTATATAGAGGGACTGCTTTCACCAAATGCTCCTGACCGTTAAACCAGATTTATTTAGCGATGACACAAGGCTAGATGTAATTTAGCCTAAAGTTTGGGTGTAAAAGGATACATGAGTGTTATTTAATTAATGGATTTAGCTTATGTCTAAATTTGCTGTGGCTATTATTGAGTTTTCTAATTTAGTACTTTTGTTGTAAATTTTAATTGTAGTCATTCATGTGTTGTACACGTCATCACATGGTTACAGTTGTGGAACAACACTTACTTGGGTAAGGACAGTTATATGATGCCAGAATACTCAGAAGTATGAATGTCTTGTGAACTACTTTGTTAAAACTTGTGAACTATAAACCCATGATATTTCTAATATGATTGTTTTATTCTTGTAGGACGACTTTTGACATATGAAGGTTGAATTATTGTGGTGGCTTGTCAATCATCATAGCAATGAGAAGGAACCCATTGTGATGTTTATGTCATTAGGATCCCACAAGAACAAGAAGAAAAGATAGAAGGACTAATCAAGCTATGCATATCATTTAAGATCAAATTAGGGTAAAGCTAACTGTGAAATTGCACTTTGTTAATGTTCTTGCTTTATAAATGTACTATGGCTGTATTTACTTGATTATACAGTGTTATCACCTTTGTAAAGGCTATAATCTTAGATATTGCACTTTGTAAATGCTAATTTCCATGGTGATTACTATTTTTATTTCTTATGTCATGGTGTTTAGTGGTTGAAATTTTTAATTGGGACAATAATCGTTAACAACTACGAAAGGGGGAATGACAAGTTAGGTAGGGAGAATGACAACTAGGTGAGGTGCATTCACAACTTATATGTTTCAGGTATAACAAAGCCTTTTTAATTCAAACAATTATCGTTAACATTGGGCAAGGGAGAATGACAGCTGGGAAAGGGGGAATGACAAGTTGGGTAAGGGGAATGACAACTGGGTGAGGGGTATTCACAACTTACATTGTTTCACGAGTGATAAGGACCTTGACAAATGCACAATTATCCTTAACAACTAGGTAAGGGGGAATGACAACTGGAAAAGGGGGATTTATAAGTCATGTAGGGGGAATGACTACTTTTTATTTATTCACTGTCAACAGGGTTTACACCAGTATTTACAACTTGAACATGTAGAGCAGGTGTATAAGCATAATCATCCATGCATTTACATAATATTGATAATCCATTCTAAAAATAACTACATAGGCTACATGGATATACTATACTTTCAGATGCATTTACAAAAAAAATACTATATGCAGTTACAAAAAAATATCAGCTACATAATACAAAAAATTACATCTTCCCAATATTAATCAGCATGGATTAGGGTTCTTGCAGGTCCTGGAATTATGACTAGTCTCATGACATCTTCCATAATGATAAAGCTTTTTCTTTTAAAATTGAGATTCACATCTTTTTGTCTTAGGTCTCCCTGGAGGCCTTCTAGTCTTCAATGGCTCCAAGACTGTTTAGGTTAACATATTTGTTACTGTCAGTGCACTTGGTTATGGAATATCATTTGTGGACACAGGCCTCATACTACGAGCATAAATTTTTTGTTGTGATATCAAATTATAGCATTCATCTATAAATGTGCACACATTTTCATGAACTAACTTTATTGCTACACATGCATGTACACAAGGTATTCCACTTATTTGCCATGCTAAACAAGTGCACTCGTGTTTTGTAATATCTACAGTCAAATGAATTATTCCATTAGGAGAAAAGGTTTGTACTGAGATATAATTTTCTCTATAAAATTGTGCATACAAATTTTCAACCCTTGCAACTTACTCCATTAGTTTTGCCTCTATATTAGGTCCTACCTTATCTTTCCAATTAATCATAGCCATTTTGGATGCTAATATCTTATTTGCCAATTTGTCCTGATGCTCATGTATTAAAACATCAATATTGTACTTTCGCTCCTTCACAATCCTAGTGTTAAATGATTCAGTAAGATTTGTTGTAATGTTATCCCATTATTTATAAGGAAACTTACATTGTACCCATCGATCTATATCTCCTTGAGCTTCAACCCATTGTGCTAATTGTGGACTGAACAATCTAAGGCTCCCTATGGCAATATTAAATTCTTTCTCATGCCTAGCATAAACAATAACATTAAGTAATTTTAGTGCAGCCTCCTTGCTATTCCTCGACGTCCTCCTCTAACCTCTATTGATTTTTACATATTCAGCATTAAAATTTTCCTTTACATAACAATAGCAATATGTATGTCTCTCACTACTAAAAATAGCTTGCACAGCCCCAATAATGGCATTATGCTTATCAAAAACTAATGTTATCTCAATTGATTTTATGATATCTTTGACATGTTCGAGAAACTAAGACCAATCGTCAAATGTTTCTCTACTCACAATAGCATATACTAGCGGAAATAGGTCATTGTCCGCGTCATAAGTAAAAGTTGCCAACAATGTTTTGTTGTATGGACCTCTTAGAAAGCATCCATATATATAAAGTATGTGTCAAAAATCTTCTAAAAAACCTAAAATACAGCATCCATATGCCATGAATAACCTATCAAATCTATTGGTATCGGAGGCATCCCATTTTACAACTGTCGTTGGATTAGTTTTCCTTAATCTATCACAAATTCAAGGGATTATCATATAAGAATCTTATGGAAGACCATGTATATTTTGCAATGCTTTTCCTCTTCCCCTATGTACTTGACTATATGTCAATCACATACCATACTCTCTATACAAGTTTCTTCTAGTTTCATTCATACTCTTGTTTATAGTAGACCTTAAAACATCAGCAATGATCAGTGAAGTTAAATCTACTCTTGCCTGATGTGAAACAATAAGCTTGTATTGTGTATTGTGGACGTGCTCGCCATTGAATCTTGTTACCCTTAAAAAGTCACTATGTTTTCTTATTGAATATGCTATAATACTCCATGGACATCTCTCAACCTTGCACTTAGCAATGACCTTTTTCGTATTGTTCTTAAACTTGTATGAAAACTTGTACCCAATACTATACTTGTACAAAGTTTGTCTAAAGGCCATTGCATTGGTAAACATTTGGCCCTTACCTACAAATAAGTCCTTCCGTTTTGTTGAATTCATTTTAGGTATTGGTGTAGGCATTATTTGTACATCACATTCTAATGGCAAGTCTTCAATCTCAAGACACAAACTACATGTAGATAAAGACCTTCCCTTTAAACCTCCTAATAAATTATCAATTTTGTAGAAAATTACAATCCAAGCACATTAGTAATACTACATTTTAATATTATATATATTAACAAAAATAATTAAACAACTTACACATATTGGTACTTAGTTGGGTCATCTATTGATACTTGTGTAGTATTATTTTTATTTGCAACTATATATACATGTCTACTTTTTTATTATACTTAATTAAATGTTCTACTCCATCATCATCAACAAGATCTATAAGTGTGCTTCTATCAATGCCGAGTATGAACTTCATCTCACTTCGAATGTTTTCGCACCCCATAATTGTTGATAACATTCTTCTCAACTCTTCATAACTTGTCCCTTCCTTTATATTTCTTATTCTTACACTCCCATCCACATATTGCATACTACCTTGGCCATCATATGTAATTTTTCCTCCCATATAAAAAAAAATAATAGATGCTTCCCAGAAGTACTAGCCATCTTTCATGTCAACCTGCACCATACACAACATATTGATAACTACCAACAGCATTTTGACAACTTCAACTTCAGCAATTAACAACACATACAAGATATTGTCAATCTATACTGCACACAACAAATTGAAAACTGCCTATGCCATATTAACAACTTAAGCTTCATCTATTAACAACACATATAAAGTATTCTTAACCTGCACATCACATAATATATTAACAACTATCTATAGCATAATGACAACTTATACTTTAGCTATTAACAACATATCTTACTATCTCATGACAGACTCATTAGCTTAACTAGGTAGCATTAGATTTTGGAATAAACTATTACCAATGCAACCCCAATGACCACCCATGATAGATATATTGACTAAGAGAGAAAGAGAGAGCCCTATTCTACTAACAAACCATAAAATACTAGATTAAATGATTAACAAGGAGTATATGCAAACTAATCTCATCATTTCCTTACTTTCATGAGGTCACAATATCAAATTCTTTAAAGCTCAAACCTAGGTGCAAGAATGTTCAAATGTGGGCCCTTTTCCTTCATAGACTCTTATACACCTCAAACTAAAGATGATTGTAAAAATGTGTTCATCTTCTAGCTACAAGTTGATCCTTCGTATGCCATTTTGAGGACGATTGCGAGATGCATCTCAACTGTTGTTGCCTCTATCATGCACGAAAACCAGTTTTCTTTCCTCTTTCCTTCTTTTCTTCCCTTTTAATAAGCCAATGGCAAATGAATTTTTTTAGTTTTAATATTATTTACCCCTAAGGATCATGGGACTTCATAGTAATTTTGGCTTATTCATGGGACCTAGGAGTATTTAAGTTTGATGTGTGGGATCTCATTATAATTTTCTCAATGATTTTCCTATAAAGCATTAAAAAGAGGGGAAAACAAACTTGGTGCTATCGAGAGAGACAAAGAAAATGTCGAGCAATCCAAAGTCTTTGATAGCAAATGCAGTCAACTAGTGTGAGAGAAATATAACTAATGAGAGAAATATAACTAAGTGTGAGAGAAATATAACTAAGAGTTCTGATTTATATGCGAACAAGGTAATCAAGTAAGTGAAAGAATAAAAGGATAAGCAATCATACCTTAAGCCCTCAAAGAAAATGTTAAGTCAGTTGAAGATATCAACTAGGGTGAAGACGTCGATTCCCTCGCTAAAAAGTTGTTGAGACACAAAGCAACTTAGGGGTGAGAACTCTTTAACAAACTTGGTGAGAGGCGAGAGTGCTGAGATAAGAGGGATTGTTCGATAATTGGTTACAGGCTTTAACTGGGCAGTTTTAATTGCAAGTCAAAATTCAAATTAGGGTCATTTTGGTCATTTCTCAAATACCTAAATTACAGCTAAGGATTAAGGGATTCTGGAATAATTTTTCTATTTTGTAGGACTTGACTATATTTAAGTTTTTTCTATGGGTCATTATTGTGATTTCCCTAATTTTTATTTAATATTAAATTGCTTCCATGGCATGCCCGTCTTCCCCAGGGAAATTGCCCTTCAAAATCTTTCTCTTTCTTTGCTCTCGCGCCTCGCTTGCACTTTACTCTTGGCCTCTTTCTTACCTCTTTCCTACTGCCACCTCTCTTTACGCCTCGCCCTCGCTTTCACTGAGCCGAAATTATCAACATTCATCCGTACCTCGCTCTCTCCTACTATGATTTCTGGAAAAGGTGAAATTTTAGTCTTGCGTATTGGTTAGTGCAAATATGAAGATTTTGGTCGGCTTTTCCAGTGCTGAAACATGAGGCTTCAGTGCTTGGAAACTAAATGACTTTAATGGACGAAAGTTCTTGCCCCCTATCATGGTCAGTCATGTAAATTTGAAATTTTATGCTTAATTAATGTTAAATAGTTGAAGTATTAGTTGCAAATATAGCCAGTTTGGCTCTAAGTAGTACCTACTTCTTTTGCTCTGTTTTTTGTACCGAGTTGATTGTTATGCATGCTGAGTGATAAATAATGGAAGGATTAGTTGTGAATATGGTTAGTTCAATAGTACGTAACTTTAGTGCTTTTATTCCAATCCTCCTCCGACATCGCCGACCTAGAAGGCGGCCAGCGGAAAGCATCGCTCTAGCTTGCTCATATCTTATTAGTTCTTCTATTCCACTCATAACCTTTTGTAGACGGGATGGAGACAAAGTGGCATCAGTTTCAGTACAAGTTCAATTTGTGGGTTGTGAGGTAAAAGCTAAGGCAGGGCGAAATTTCACACGAACATGTTTGATTTGCTCCTCAAACTTCGCAGGCCTTATGGGTCAGCCATCCGGAGTTCGCTCTTTGACTCTCGGTTCTTCTCCTGTAATCTTCCCCCTGTCTCCTTTCTTGTTTGAAGTACTACTTTTTTCCCCCCTTTACTTTTGATCGATATTGACTGTGAGTTGTGTCTATTATCCCCTAGATGCTGCGCAGAATAAAAATATGGAAGCTTCAGCTGGAGGAAATTCAAGCTTCATCCACCCTGGTGCAATTGTTCACCCCAATGCCGTCATAGGCGAGGTATTTTCTTGAATCTGAATTCTTCACTTCAAACCATCTTCACTATATTGTTTTCTTCCCGTAGGTATTATTTGTTTCTTTCTTATTGCATCTTTGTATGAAGGTTTTTTGAGGCAGCTCTAGGTTGAGAACATAGGTCTACATGTCGTGTCCCTTTTTTTTTTTTTCCCGTGTTGAGTATATGATGTACGGCTGTGGTGGGGCTTTGATTGTGGTTTGTTTGAACTTGGAATCCGAACTCTTTTGTAAATAACTCTGTTTCCATGTTGTTTCACTGGGAATTATTGTGGAGGTTACTTTCTTCTGCCCCAAAATTAATGGTATGCCAATTATGAGAGAGGTAATTTTGGCTTGCTTGACGAGTAGCATCATTTTACAATTTGAGAAAGAAACAAAGAAGAGGCGCATGAGTAGAGCATGGATTGTGGATTGGTTAATCTGCATGTTGTTTTTGTAGTGTGCTGTAATGTATTGTAGTTGTAATGCAGTCTGAGTATTAATGCAGCCTATGTCTTTAAGATCTTATGGTCTCTTGAACTCATCAGACATGTTTTATGCAGCTTAATGTTTTCTAGTGATTGGTATCCTGCTGTTATGCTCAGGGGGTTTCAATAGGACCTTTTTGTTCTGTGAGTTCATCTGCAAAAATTGGCAATTTTTGTAAGCTATATCCTGGAAGCCATATTTTTGGAAGTACCGAATTAGGAAACAACTGTTCATTGATGACGTAAGTTCAGACCTAAGATTTCTGATTTTGCCTAATTTTATGCTTTTTGCAAGGAGTACTTTCTCTTTAACCATTATATGATTACTTATTTGGAGAACTTTGTCTGGCAGTGGTGCCGTTGTTGGTGATGATCTTCCTGGATGTACCATTGTTGGAAGAAATAACAAAATAGGGTATCATGCTGCGATTGGTGTCAAATGTCAAGACTTGAAATACCAGGTATCTTATTGGAAGCTATTCACATTAAGAGACTTTGTGCATGCGCGCGTGCATGTATGTGATGATATGCCCTTTTAATCATGTCATTCTATGTCATCTTACCCTTGAGGTTCTGATTGTTGAAGCTGAATTCATGTCATCATCAGTACTTTTTGGATGTTTTATTAATATAGACAACTAGTCACTTAGCTTATCATAGTTACTTCTGCCTGAAAACACGAGCATAAATCACTATAAAAGATTCATTAGAGAGTTGTTCAAGTTCTAATAACCTGATATGGGACTGCAGATCTATAACAGAAAAATATGAAGTAGGGATCCTATCAAACAGATGTCTAGAATGGGTAGACTTCTTCTGTGCTTCTTTGTTGTTTCACATGCCAAAAGATGACATTGCTAACCTGCATAGTTATCATTTAGAATGTCTTGCTATGTTCACTAACTCTTTAAGCTAGATAGCTAATGACCTCTGTATCAATTATTTATGAATGGACTGAATTGTATTATATGTACCTATTTCATGTGAAGCTGAGTCATGTAATTCATCTCTGGTTTTTTTGAGTCATAATAAATGCTCCTAATTATGCTGCTATGTAGCCAGAGGATGAATGTTTCCTGGAAGTTGGTGACAATAATGATATTAGAGAACATACTTCAATCCACCGATCTTCAAAGTCAACTGATAGGACTGTAAGGAGATTGCCCATTTGGTTATGTGCATGTGTAGTTTTTCATACTCTAACATGCACAATATGATCAGGTTATTGGAAACAACAATCTTATCATGGGATCTTGTCATATTGCCCATGATTGCAAGGTTGGTAACGACAACATTTTTGCAAATAATACTCTTCTTGCTGGACATGTCATAGTGGAGGTAAGGCCGCTTTAAACAGATGTATTTTTTTTTTAAAGGAAAATTTATGTAATTTATAAAATTAATCCACCCTCTTCAAATGAAGGACTATGTTCACACTGCGGGTGCCATCGTTGTTCACCAATTCTGCCATCTTGGTTCCTACTCTTTTCTTGGTGGTGGTTCTGTGGTAAGTGCATATTTCAATCTGCTGGCCTTGAGTCACCATTACGCTCTTATAAAATGGGTTGTCCTCAGTTTTTATTATAAAATAGAGCCTTGTTAAGGTAAAGGATAATACAGAAAGAAAAGACAGCAGAAGAATATGAATGAGGGAGATTCTTTGGTTGTGATATTAAAACTTCAGAATACTGAATCAGTGTTGCAACAGTCTTAGCTTATTCTGACCAAAAAACCTATTCCCCTAATAAACCAGAATGAACAATAAACAGGAACAATTTCAAGGTTTACATAACAACTACACAGCACGACCACTGGCATTTGAGGGACCAGAACTCGTCACCATATTCACTATCAAAATACCTACTTAAGGTCCTCTAGAAGCCCTAAGGACCAGATTAACCAACAAGTAACTTTCACTACTCCCTAACACAGCCCATGCCGCAAGACTACACCTAGAGCACACTAGGTCAGCACTTGCTTTTCCTATGTTTACTCAAGAGCTTTAGCATAATTCCATGGACCAGCAGAATTATTCCCTTCTATTCCTTGTGTCTACCTTAATTTCCTCTCATGTCATAGTGAATCCAGCTGCCCTATCATTATACTGTTAATTTTCATTGATAAATTTGAGTAATAGTTGAATTTGCAAGTAGTGTCTCAGCCACTATTGATGGAATCCTGTGCATGAGGATTATGTCCACTTTGCATTAAATTGCTAATACTAAAAGGTCCTTTTGAAGAACTTGTCAAACAAAGGAATGCTACAATGAGTTTATGCCAAATGAATTGCTGCAACTACAGTTTTTGTTTTTACATGAATGCAGGTTTCACAAGATGTTCCCAAATACATGATGGTGTCGGGAGAAAGAGCTGAACTTCGTGGTCTAAATGTAGTGGGTCTTACTCGGCATGGATTCAGCAATACAGAGGTTCTTGCTGATAAAATTTTAAGTTCATTTGATTTCAATTCAAATTATATCTTATCTTGCAATTAATAATTCTTGTGCAACATTCTAGATCAGGAGCCTTAGAACCGCTTATCAAAAGATATTCATGTCCACAAATGCAAACACTAGGTCCTTTGAAGAAAGACTTGCTGATGTGGTATTCTCTTGTGCTTTTGTGTTGCTTTAAGTAAATAAGTTATGGATCTAGAGACAACCTTCCTTGGTCAAATCTTAATCAATTGTAAACTACTTTTGCAGGAGAAGCACGAAGAATTGACTCACTTTCCTATTGTACGTGCGATGTTGAAATCTGTCCGTGATTCTTTTGCAGAAGATCGACGTGGAATATGCAAGTTCAGAGACTTGATTGGCTCTTGAAGCAAGATGAAGTGAGTACACAGACACACACAGATATACCAGGAGGTTCTTTGCCACTCCTCATGTGTCATGGCATGCTTAATTCATAAATACTCTGTTTGCCATACCCATTTAGCTAGGACATCTCCTTTCAAGGAAATCAAGTGACGATTAAAATACTATATTATTTGATTGTTTTTTGGTGTAAACAGTTGACAGTTTTACAGATATCTCATGCAATTTTTGCTTGAATTACAAGCTGATGTGAATTTTATGGAGTAAAATATGACAGCTGTTCTGGCAGGTCTGAAGGAGTCAGTCTACACTGAAGCAATTTTGATGGAAAATATTGTATTACTAAGAGCTTGTGGCATGAAGAGGAGTTATTACAATATAAAAAATTGTTTGTAACAATGAATTCTTGTATTTTTTTCTAGTATTGATTTGTGATATAGGGATTTCTTGTGAGAGGTATAGTAACGCAAGTAGAGTTTTGCATTAATCATGTAGCTACTTGTATTCTGCACACTCTAAACCTTGAGAACTTCAGATTATGGCATGAGTTACTTAACCAAGTTGCTTTCTCCCTACTCACCAATTGTAATTTTGGGTTCAAGTAATTGACTTGAGCAGTTGTGTGTTTTGTGGACGATGTATTAGAGATTCTGAAGCTAGATCATGAAGGATCATTTAGCAGCCTGTTTTTGTCTGGTTAATACTCTGTTTTTAAATATAAGTAAATCTTTATTAACTCACAATTTAAAAAAGTTGGTTAATTTTGATAATTATATTTAAAATTGATATGTTAGGCCTAAAGTGTCCTTGTAAATAATGTATACTTTTTTACTAATTTGAGGATACTATTCATTTGTGAGGGTAATTTGGTAAAAAAATAATAGATGTATTTTGAAATTTGTAGTTTCACCTGTAAAAAAAAAAAATGAAACATGGTAGTTTCTCTAAGAACAAGAAGTAGAGGAAATATAATCATTTCTGGTTTTTAACCACTTACTGATTTTAGACTCGAATATTTTTCCATTCTTCTTGATTTGATTGTGAGGATCTAGCGAGCCCATTTGATATTAAACAAGACTATGTTGATTAGTGCATGAAATTTTGTATTGTGTACGAATTATTGGGGGGATAGCATATGCTCCCTCATATTCAAAATATTAGCATTTTCTCTTATATAATCTTGGCTCAAAATATAACCAACTTAACAGTTGTAGAAATTTGTTTCTCCATTTTACTTATTGTGATTTATTAACCTTGATTCTTGTGGGAATTTGTAACTTTTTTCTCATCCATTATTGGTAATTGAGACTAAGAATAAATAATAATAATAATAATAATAATAATAATAATATGAAAAATATGTTATTGGTATGTAGGATATTGTTGAAAATTACTTATATTTTGGACGGAGTATTGTGATATGGACTCAAAATAATTGTGAATCATTATTTACAAATACCCTCATCAATCAATTATAAAATAGTATTCTTTGTAAAGGTGAAAAAAAAAAAAGGATTTCTAATTACCCACTTAAATTAACACTAAGATTCAAATTCATTTAGAGGGAATGTGATGGGTCCTTCTCATCTATATCAACCCTGATTACCTGTTATATTTGTCACTTTTGACTTGAAGAAAGTGATTACTCTGGATCACAACTCTTTGCAAAATTAGAAAGCCACATCAAGTATATTAGAAAATTGCAAGACTTTTTTAGTTTTTTCCAACTTAGTTAACACAACTTGAGTGCTTTTATCTCTTTGATGCTTCTCCATTACCAAGTGGTACCACTGAAACAAAGAAAATCATTGGAGCTATATATCAGTTAAGTGCTTATCCATTAGTGACAACCTTACTCTGTGCTTCTTTTTAATAAAATAAAACCATAGTCTGCACTGTTGTGTTTCTTTCTTTAGTGTATAATGATATGATCAAAAAGCATATTTGAGACTAACTACCAGTGATTTATCATAATTTATATATTCTTGATTGATTGTGACTTGTGAACTAACCCGGTCCATTCTTTACTTTCTAAATTTTTTCTTTCTAAAGTATAAGGAGTAAGTTTTACCAACAGTAAATAATATTTTCCTCAAGGTATTGAAAATAATGGATAAATCTCTTACAACTAAATTGCTACACTCACAAGAGTTGGGTTTGTACTCTCAACTATTTGTTTATTGAGTGACGAGTTTTTTTTTTTTTTAATTCCCGCTAATTTTTTAGCTAGTTCTGCTCTATACTTTTTCCTCATTTGTTTAAAATGAGTGCTCTTTTTTATCTACTCAGTAGACCAATAATGTAGGTTTGCTGTGACTTGTGACTATGTTCATGACCCAATTTGGCAAGAATCAAGATTTAATAAAGATGCTGAAATAGGCAGGCAAGGTAGGTGTTCTCATCCACATTATTATTATTATATAGTATTAAATCAAAGGTTACTTGAATTATTCACAAGTCACGGAAAGAATAATCTTTTAAAAGATGCTGAAACTTTTGGTGCTTTTGAATTTAGTTCATAAAATTTAATCTTTAAATCATATTTTTTAAAGTATCATAATTATACATAATTAGTCCTTGTTGTGCTGTTTTTCTTTCAAACAATAAGGACTAATTGTAAAGGATTAGAAAACTTTATGGACTTAATTAATAAAGTTTAAACTTCACAAAATAAGTCAATAACTAATACAAACTTGAAAGATTAAAAATTTCATTATATCATATCTTAATATCACTTTAATATAAAAAATTAAAGTGCCAATGGCAATTTGTTTAAGTGATTTAATTTGATGCCTGTTTTGTTAAGATCGATCTTGACTTTAAATTTCGTGCATGAAGAAAATTGCTGCTGATATGAGAGAGTTTTGCTTTTATATAATTTGATTTGACTTGATCTAAATTAGTTGAAGTTGAACACAACTCTTAAAAATTCCCACATATTACACAAAAAAGAAAAATTTGAAAAGTGAGTATAATTTTGAAAGAAAAATAATTTATTATTGTATCATATGTGCTAAAGGGAAATGGATGTAATGAACACTAATAATAGGATTGGTGATGTTGATAGTTAATAATATATTTAGACAAAGTTAAAGGCAAAAAGAGAAATTACTCTCACTAATATTAGTTTTTTATTGCCCGCAGCTTTTTTTTTATTAGATGCAATCTTGTCAAGATATGATCAAGTATTAAATATGAGCATTTTTTTTGAGTAAAAATTCAAACATTGATTTCACATCATGAGGGACTCGTCTATTTTGCTATACCTAACTCCTACCGATATAATATTAAACTATTTTTACTTAGCAAATGGATAGGAAAAGGCTTCCAAATTTAAAATGGTAGAAGTTGTTTGAATAGTTACAAATGTCCATAAAGATGTAGTTTATTATAGTCACCACCAGGCACTTAAATATTTAATGCTTCATATAGCCTCAAAACTTAATAGCTTTCGAGTAGAATGAGTAAATTATTATTAAAAAAAGAATATGAGTAAATTAATAGTTTTGATAAAATCATTAAGAAGTACATGTTATATGTAGTATATAGTACGCATGTAAAAGTATAACCGTATCAGGCCAGAAAAAGAAAAGAGATATGATTTTAAAGGACTTTATATATATATATATATATATATATATGATTTATTTGGCGAGCACCAGATTCCCCTTTTAAACAAACCAATTAGAGAATTTTTAGTATAAGATTAATGGATAGCATTATTGGTATTTTGACCTATCAGTTTGTTTTCTTCATAGTATAAAGAGTATGCTTTATCAATAATAAAGATTATCTTCCCTAAGTATTGAAAGTAAAGGATAGACTTCTTCTCACTAAATTGTAACATACATAAAGATTAAGATTTGAATCTTAACCATTTATTTGAGTGATGAGAACTTCTATCACTCATGCTATGACTTTAGTTGGTTTTAAGCTATTAGTTTTTAATAAGAATAAAATAGAATTGGAACAACTTGATTGCATATTTGAAAGATATGTATTTCACGAGTCTAAAAAATATATTTCATTATATACAATTTATGAATTGTGTAATTTATTAAATTTTTTATAATTTATAATGGCAATATCAAATTCCATTGGTGCACAAAATAAAATAAAAAATTATAACAAAAATATCTTTTATATTTCTAAATAAAAAATAACATTAGAGACAATTAATTTATACGTTTCAATTTTAACACCATAAAAAATTTCTAATTATTAATATATATTTATAATAAATTATACTATTCATAATTGTATGAATCTTAAACAAAAATATTCACTCTCAACTTCTGTCTAATACATGGATTTTATATCTAGCTTTGTAAGAAAATAGATAATTAGAAATTTTTATTAACATAATATTTCACCAAAGACACGAAAAGGGTAGGTGCATTGGTATGTAAAATGGTGGGAAGACCAAGAAGAAAATAGGAGGAATGATAATTGCCAAACACTAATTTAATTAATTATAGTTAGGTTACAAAATAATAATCCTAGCTTGTTGCAAATTGTGGCAAAGTAATTGTAAATTATACTCTACAAAGTTGCAAATAAAAAATGTTAATTGTAAATAATTATTACGAAATCTAATTATAATTAAATTGATAATTTAAGACCTAAGTATCATTCCTAATTTTTGGATGCATGGATGAAAGTAGAATCTTACAATTAGAAGGGAGGTTTGGATTTTGACTTTAAGGGTGTGTTTGGATTAAAAATTTTAAAACTGGGGTTAGAATTAACTGAGGTTAGCAAACTGAGGTTGGAAGAAATGTCTGTGACTTTAACATAATTTATGTTTGGATACCTTTTTTCATAAGTCAGGTAAATGAACTAAAATTTGTTTGGATGATTTGATTCAAAAATCAATTAAAATATATAATGACAAAAATAGACATCAATTTTTTTTGAATATATTTTTGTAACTAATATGATATTTTTAGGAAAGAATATTAAACTTACAATTGAATTTTTCAGAAAAGTAAAATTAAATTATACAATTTTATTTTTTAAAAGTTAGAATTAAAAAATCTAAGATAAATGACATACTAAATTTTTTTAAATTTTATAAATGTGTTGCACTGATTTTAAAAAATAAATTACATTGCTACTAACTTAAAAAAATTATTGTTTATGATTAGTTTTTTTATTCCATTTAATTTAATCATAATTGATTTAATGATTCAATTTGTATAATCTCATATTTCTTTTTCTTTTCATTTTTTCCTGAAGCCTTGTGCAAATATTTTACGGTAAGATGAGAGATTGAGGAAGCCAAGAGATATCGTGTAAGGACAAGAAAGAGAAAACCCACAAAACAATAAATGCCAACTTCACTTTCTCACGTTACGTTCCTCCAGAAGCTACATTTTGTGGCTTCAGTTCTAACGCCCGTTTTTTTCCCAACGTTCTTTACAAAATTTTTGTAGCCAAACAAGAATAAAATTTTTATAATGAGCTTTTGATACCTCAACTGAGGTTTTGGTTATCCAAACCTTAGTTACGTATTTATCCAAACATGCACTAAGTCTATTTAGGTTTTCAAAATAAAAGCAAGGTTTATTTAATT